ATTCTCCAAATGAACTATACGCTTTAATTTAAAAAAATAAATAATTAATTAACTAGATCTCCCCAAATTATGAAATCTACTCCCTAAATTTCCCCAAATTATTTCCAAATTATTTGAAAAGTTAATTAATGATTCCCATTAATTAGTGCGCTAAGTATACGGCGGTCCCTCCACCCGGGCCTTAAGTTGGCACTTGGCTGTTGTATGTTGGGTTGGCGCTAGTGGCGCTAGTGTTGAGTGTTGCCGTGTGGAAGCTTGGAGACTTGGCGTTGCATGGGACATGAACATCAGTTGTAAGTGATTGTTCCTGCGTAACGCTTCAGTGCTTCCTACATCCCACTTCCATTTACATTTCTTCTGCAGAGTTAAGCCAAGCCAATCCAATCGAAATCACTTTCATTACAACAAACTCGACAAAATTATGTCTCGATCAATGCTAGTTCTCCTAATTGCGTTGGGTGCCACAACAGTCCAAGCAGGTAAGTCCTAAAAATCGAACGATCGTGCGAATGAACCATTTCAATGCAATTGACAATAATAATGCCTGATGAAGCCAAAGCTCTAGTGAATCACTGCGCATTGTTCTATGCTCCAAATAACGGCTTAACCCACTGTAGCATTTCATATACAACGGCGAATGTGTGCGTCATTCGTTTACAATATACATAAATATTACAGTAACGAGATGTTGATAAATTATATCATCCGGTTGTACGAAGATTCCAGATCACATTTTAGAAACATTTTTTTTTATAATATGTAAGTTAAATGCTTTAATATTATCGAAAATACTACCATAGTTACGGATTCGTTGTTGACGAAATAGGGAGGAGTTAAGACACAAAAGAATTCTCTCAATCGCCCATACTTCCTGGTAAAATTTAGGGTACTATCCGGATGAATCAAGTTCCTTTTCGAAGCCCGAGAAAATGGCTCCACAATAAAACGAAAATTTTTTATTTTACTCAGCAGACAAACTTGGGTTATTGACTATTGCAACCGTTCATATTTCGGTCTTGTCCTCCATCATTAAAAAGAGTATTTGCGTTGAGAATTCTGTTTTTTTTTCTAAATATCTTCGAAATTGGAGAAAATTAAAAAATTGAAAAATTTATCTTCTTTTCGACCCCTACGGCGCACCATGGATGTTGAAGGTGGGTGGACTTATCTCGACGATATGACTCACTCATTCTCATCGACGGCACATTCAATATAAAAGCCGGTCTCTGGTGATGTTTGAAAATAATTGTCGTAGCATTCTAATGGATTCTGTGGCGGGGTTAGAATATTGGTAATATAAGGTGGAGAGGAATCGATTATTTTCCTCCAGAGAACCAATTCCTGAAAAAAAAAATCTCACTTGTCAATCCATTAATTTCCGCATTGTTGAGGAGTCCATGCAAAAATTTTTTTGTTATAACTTTAACATTTTCTTCTCCAAATGTGAAACGTATTTAATCATTTTTTTAACTCTTTTTTTTTTATCATAAACTGAAAATAGTTTTTTGATGTGAAAAAAGTGGCAACGTCGGAACTGCAGAGCGTTTAGATAGTCGAAATTGGCACTATACCAAGGTAACCAACTAACTGACTGTGGGTTAGTTTTGTTTTCGCGGGAATTTTAAATGCCTTTTTAATGAATGGAGAAAGTATTTTCCAAAACACCAGGAATTAGACGAAAATGCTGCAGGTGATGGAGAAAGGAAACCAAGTGCTATTGATTATCCGGAGGAGTCAGTCAAAATCGCATTTCTGCGTGACTCGCTAAGGACAGATGGAAAAATTCCGACAAATGACAATAGTCGGAGAGCATCCCTTTTGAATTAGCGGCGCTCTCCACCACTTGGAAATCCGCTGCTAAATTGGCGTAATCGCGAGATGCGCCCCGCTGAAATTACTTTTTTCACCAACTTTTCAACAATTATTAATAAACGGTTCTCGAAGTGAGCATAAAAATTTTCTCAAGAACTTCATATAAATACATTCTTTCAGTCTGTCAAGTTTCGCGTTAGTGGCTGTTTTTTGTCTATTTCTTTTTGCATTTTTACGATTTTTCAATAACAGTCCGTAACCCTTGACCCTTAAGGCGAAGCTCCCCGTGTGTAATCGGCCATTTACTGCACGCTAAAGTGTAAAAAATTTCAACAACGACGAAAAATTTTGAACCCTAAAACTGAAAAGAAAATGGTACAAGCCACCGATCGGAATTAAGTGACTATCGAATAATTCGATACTAGTGTCTTTACCAGATAGGAAAACAATGAAGAGAATTATCCTCTGATATTCAGGGAAATGTGAAAACGTTGATCTATTAATGATGGTCATCTATAGGGGGTGTTACACTATTTTTGAGAAGACAATTTCCAAAAATGTGAATATGTTTTGAAGGTGAATTTTTTAGAGGAACTACCATCGATATAGGAAAACCAGATGAATGGTAAACTGTGAGAGCTCCTTTGGTTCTTTTCAATAAATTCTGTATTTCATAAAATTGCAATAAATCGGACACTTGATGCGTTATGAACAGTGTTGGTAAAAGTAAAAGGGTATTCCCAAGTAGGGCTTGCCAATCGTCACTCATTGGACCATTCCTCGGCTCAGACCTGACGTACATAGTATTGTAACCCAATAATGGACAAAAATTGGCTCAAGTCATGCAAATCCATTCACTAAACGCTAATCATTAACCACAGTATGGCCGACGTGAACAAACCAATGATCGGCATACCATCTCTAGGACAATAATAGGTCAATAGTAAAAAATCCGGACGATAGGCGCTTCAATGTTCGGCCGATACCTGGCCAATGTTATATACACCAAGCGTTGCTACATCAAAGCTAAGCGCACACTTAGCCAAAGGTAAAATGCCGATAATGATAACACAATAACCATATGATCTATAGTGATAATAATAAACAATCATTATTAAATAATAATGGAAGAACTATAACTATTATGAAATAATAATAGTGATTTTAACTATCACCTCCACGAGTTATAATTAGATCATTCAAACATGGAGTGCCAAACAATCAGAAATAAAAATAAAAAGTATAAATTGTTATGTCCGGAGACGTTGTCAGCGTCGGAGGACAACTATTGTATAATAGAATTATTTCCGGAAAATAAGAACTAGAACTTTTGATATAAAAATATGGA